CTGGTTCAAGTTCTGGCTGTTCCACTTCTGATCCAGCTCTCTGCCATGGCCTGGGAAAGCAGTGGAAGATGGACCAAGTCCTTGGGCCCCTGCACCCGCATGGTAGACCCAGAAGAGGCTCCTGGCTCCTGGCTCCTGACTTCGGATCAGCCCAGCTCTGGCCATTGCGGCCATTTGGGGAGTGAACCAGTGGATGGAAGACCTCTCTCTCTCTCTCTCTCTCTCTCTCTGCCTCTGCCTCTGCCTCTGCCTCTCTGTAACTCTGCCTTTCAAATAAATTTAAAAATTAATTAATTAAAAAAAACCCTAACCTATTAAATTTACCCTGAATTAAATCAAAGTTTACCCAAACTGTTAAAGTGTATCCAAGAAAGTTCATCAGTGATAGAATGGATGTGCCAGGGCATTTTTGATTCAGTGCAGTACTCGGGCATGAGATGAAGGCACTACACACAGCAGCAGGAATAAATGTCACACATGAAACGCAGAGCAAGCAGGAGTATACACATAGGAGTGAACACTGAGTCCACTTCTGTAAAGTTAAAAAATAAGGCCAGAGATCGCTAACATACAGGGCCGTGGTTACCCTGGGACAGCCATGTCACCTCACCACGAAGCCCACTCAGGTGGAAATGTGACAGTTGTCAAAATTTTCAGCAGTTTTTCTAACATCAAATCATATTGAGTATCATTCTAAATTTTAACATTTCAAGTAGCTATTTTATAATAATAGATCATTTTGTATATTTTGAACACACTGAAGTTGACCTTTTTTTTATTTTGACAGAGTTAGTGAGAGAAAGACAGAGAGAAAGGTCTTCCTTCCGTTGGTTCACTCCCCAAATGGCCACCATGGCCGGCGCTGTGCCGATCCAAAGCCAGGAGCCAGGTGCTTCCTCCTGGTCTCCCAAGTGGGTACAGGGGCCAAGCACTTGGGCCATCCTCCACTGCCCTCCTGGGCCACAGCAGAGAGCTGTACTGGAAGAGGAGCAACCGGTATTAGAACCCGGCGCCCATATGATATGGGATGCCAGCACCGCAGGTGGAAGATTAACCAAGTGAGCCGCGGCCCCAGACCCTGAAGTTGACCTTTTTAAAAACAACCAGACTCCACATATTCTCCCAGTGATCTTCCCTTGTCTATTTCCCTGTTTCTTCCTGCTCTCCCCTCCTTACACCAAAAATGCCAAACCACTGGTGACTGTTTACCCATCTTTCAAAATAGCATGATGGCATAAAAATCAACTAGTTTGTTTAAATAACAATATTAAATTCCATGATGAGCTCATGAGCTGTTGTTTCATAGTTCATGAATATGCTTTTTCAAAGCTGCGAGTTTTTTAAAAGAAAATTTATTTACTTATTTGAAAGTCAGAGTTACAGAGAGAGGGGTCTTCCATCCACTGGTTCAGTCCCCAAATAGCTGCAATGGCCAGAGCTGGGCCAATCCAAATCCAGGAGCCAGGAGCTTCTTCCAGGTCTCCCATGCAGGTATAGGGGTCCAAGCACTTGGGCCATCCTCTACTGCTTTCCCAGACTATAGCAGAGAGCTGGATCGGAAGTGGAGCATCCAGGACTCAAGCTGGTACCCTTATGGGATGTTGGCACTGTAGGCAGCAGCTTTACTGGCTACACCACAGTGTGGGCCCCCAACGAATTTCCTTTTTTTTTTTTTTAAAGATTTATTTATTTATTTGAAAGAGTTACACAGAAAGGAGACACACATACACACACACACAGAGAGAGAGGTCTTCCATCGATTTTTCACTCCCCAACTGGCCACAACGGCTGGAGCTGCACTGATCTAAGCCAGGAGCCAGGAGATTCTCCCATGTCCCCCCTGCAGGTGCAGGGGCCCAAGGACCTGGGCCATCTTCCACTGCTTTCCCAGGCCATAGCAGAGAGCTGGATCGGAAGTGGAGCAGCCGGATCTCGAACCGGCGCCCATACGGGATGCCGGTACTTCTGGCCAGGGCATTAACCTTCTGCGGCACAGTACTGGCCTCAACGAATTCCTTTTTAAATTGAAGGACAAAGGTTTCTAGTGGCCCATTGCTGCTTAGCATCAACTTGTCGGGGGGCACAGAACATACTGTCAGTAGAGCATGCGTTAAGTCACAGCACACTTGTGCAGTGGAACACTGTGTAGCCACTGAAAACTGTGGCTGCTCGTCTTCTAAAGTGGCTCTTCTAATACAGATCCCATGGCAGTGCTGTGTGGGCTCTGAGATGTATGATTATATATGTATTTTTTAAAGCAAGATTTAGAGATTTGTACTAGCTGTGCAAAAAAAAAAAAAAAAAAATGAGGGGACTCACATGTCTGGATTTCTCTGTGCTACATCTCTAAAAGGACACTGGAGAAACAGGCAGCACTGGTTTCCCCTGGGGAGATTGGCAAGCTCAGGGACAGAAAGAAAACCGCACACTGTTTGCAGTTTGGGTCCCCCCCCCCTTTCTTGCCACATGCATGTTTGTACTTTTAAAAAACGGCTGAAGCTTTTTGGCACCACCTACATCCCAATTGTAAGAGCATAAATCCCACTGGTCAGCCTCCTGCTGCAGACCACCCACCCACTCTGCAGAACCACGTGCTCCAAGACGAAAGCCGCAGGGGCAGCTCCGGAAAGCCCACTGTTGTGCGGGCTAGGAGACAGCTGCCCTGCAGAAGGCTTGATGGTGACCCCAGTGCTGAGGGCTGCTGTGTGCCTGCCATGTGTGCTGGAGGCCGGAATTCCCGGCGACCCGGGGCCCTTTCAGTCCTGCCCATCTCAGCTAGGGAGAGGGGTGCGTCGTTTCCCACTGAGCTGCTCTTTGTGGAGCCAGAAGTTAAATCTTTGAATGTAGAATGCATGCCTGGGTATTTGTATTTATTTGTGATTTATGGCCCATATAATTCCAGAAACAAATTGTGAGAAAGCTTACTATATTGCAGATTGGAAATCAGTAAAAGAAGCTGTATATTGGTTAGAAACTTTTACAAGCACCTGGGGCAAGTTAATTACTGGTTGAGCACTGAATTCAGCTTTGAATTTCTTGGTACATGAGGTGAAAATGGGGAATATAGAGTATATGGTTTTCTTTCTTTGGAGGCAAAAAATAGTATATTTTGTCTAAGGTGATGGACATTTTCCTGATAATCAATTCAAGAAGGAAATTTGAATGCAGGACCCTATTAAAAACAGGATGACCGAGGGCTTCTCTGTGAGTAGTGCCAGTCGGTGTTAAAATTAGCTGGTCCAGTGTGCCAAATCACACAAAATATAAAGTCCCATTTGAGTGTCAGAGCCCACTGAGCTCGGCCTCAGTGGCTACCCCAGTATTCCACACTGTCCTCTCATGGGGCGACAGTCTCGTCCTCCTAACACTGGCTTCGGTCTTGCTCTTCCTAAGTTTCCTGCGAGCTATGGTTGGGGCTGCCTTTTGGGAAAGCAGACCCGGCCGTGCGCTGTCAGGGCTCACACCTCTCTGCTCACAACTCCCAGGTCCCTTTGGTCTCATGATAAGATTTCCAAATCCTGCCACCTCCTGCTTCTGCCAAGCTGTCTCCATTACTGCCTGGGTCTTTGCCTTTTCCAAGTCCCTCGTTCGGGCTGTGCAGCCTCTGAGCACCTTCTCCTCTCTCTGACAGGAAGCTCCTCCCGCTCAGGGCTTCCTCACCCTCGGGAGCCCCTGCCCGCCGCTGCCTGTTCTCTGTCTCCCTGGCCCTCATCTCCCTTGAAACGGCCTTTCTGTGTCTGTCTCAGACTGTTTTGTGCTGTTGTCTGTAGCAGAATGCCATAGAGTGATTGATCAAGGATAGAGTTGTATCTGGCACCTCTGGAGGCTGTGAAGTCCAAGATTGTGGTGCCAGCATCTGGATAGGCCTCGCTGCATCCAAGCATGGCGGCAGGTGGAAGGGTGAGTGGGAGCAGCCGAACTCCCAAAAGTCCTTTAAACAGTAGCATTAGGCCCGACCTGAGGGTGGCACCCTAAAGCCCTCCCACACTGTTGCCTTGGGGGCCTAAGTTTCCAACACAAAAATTCTGGGGGCACGGAGGACCCTAACAGTGATCTAAATGTGCAGCAGCCTCCCTCCCCAGGGAATGTGGATCCTGCTATAGCATTGCTCTCCAAAGTGCAGATCTAATCCCATCACTTGCTGGCACCAAAGCTTTCAGGAGCTCCCTGGTTCCTACAGGATACAACCCATACCCCATATTTATCCCTCCAACCACCTGGGCCCAAGCTGCACTTCCAAACTCACTCTTGTTTCTTTGTTTCACTCGGTTCTTGTGAGTTCCTGTGCCATGGCTAGAATGTAACATTCAAGGCTCCTGGCTACCCTGTTCACTCAGCCCTTCTCTGCTTATGCCAGGCCTGACCATGCCTTTCCTAAGACCTCCAGCTGAAAGTGGTGTCTAAGTTCTTGTCTGAACTTGGAGTGCCTTTGACATGGTACTCATCTTCTCCCTGAATGATAGTTATTTTATGTACTTGTCTCCCATGTTAGTTTGTAGCTAAGTCCTATGTAGTGTCTGGCATGAGCCTCACGGAGTGGGTAGGTAATTAAGATGTGTTAAATGAGTGGCAGTTTGTGCCAGTTATTTTGCATCTTTGTAGAGCAGGCTTTGATCAGACGCATCTCTTTTCCAGTGCTGGTAATTTCTAGGAAACTTTGAGTTTTTATGTATGTTGCACATGGCTCCATCACCTGCAGGGTCTCCTATTCTTACAGACATCTCTCAGGATGTGTGACTGTGAATCCAGGTCATATCCTGCCTTGTGCACATATTTCACAGGTGTTTGCCAGGACAGAGCGTTGTTACGGTACTGAGCAGTTGCATGCCATGTGACATTTCCAAGGAAGACTGAGAAAATTGGCACCTTCTTCCCAGAACTGGCGGCCTTGACCTTGTTACTGGAACAGCAGCTGCTCACTAACCTGCACCTCCCCTGGGGGTCTGCCCTGGGCCACTCCCATGACCACACGGTAACTCCGCCTCACTTCTTTCCAACAGGCCGATTTGAACTGCAACATTCAAGATGATGCTGGGGCTTTTTATGGTGTCACCAGTCAGTATGAGAGCTCTGAAAACATGACAGTCACCTGCTCCACCAAAGTCTGCTCCTTTGGAAAGCAAGTAGTAGAAAAAGTAGAGGTAAGTCGTCCTCTGTGTTCCAGAAACCTCGATCCAGGGCAGCCTAGGGCCTCATCACCTTCATGGGTGCCAAGAGTTGTCCTTTTGGGTGGCTCCTTCTTCCTGCCCCGACCTCTCTCTCCCCTTGCTTTGCCCTGTTACTTCTAAAAACAACATGGAAGCACCTGTAAGAAAGAACTGGGAAGTCCCAGGCCCACCCTCTGTGTGTCTGAAGTCCTCCTGCCTCAGCTTCTGGGGTGCCCTTGGAGGGAGCCCTGCCTGCCACCGCCACCTCCCAGGCCTTGTGGACAGCAGTCAGGGTGCCATCCAGCCAATGGACACCAGCCTGCCCCAGTCCTGACACCTTGTGTTCAACTTTGCTTTTACCATTTATTTAAATAATTTTAAATAACAGGCAGTCTTCAGAAAGTTCATGGGGAAAAGGTGTATTATAAAGCCCACTATGCATAAATTTCAATTTTTTTTGCCTCCAAATAAACTGGTCTTTTAATTCCGTTTTCCCACAGACTTTCTAAGTGCTCACGTTCTGTTCCTAGATTCTGATTCTTCTCCTCCCTCTGTTTGTGTCCACACGGCCCAAACCCTGTTGAGTTCCCCGTAGTCATTTCCTAGTATATTCTACTCTCTGCCCAGGCAAGAGGATCCCTTTGTCCTCATACCTGCTCTAAGCTGGCGGTCAGCACTTATTGTTAGAAATAATAAGATTATTTTTAAAATGTGAAGTAAAACAAAACCTTGTTTTCTCAATCTAATTGTATTTGCATTTGATTCAGATATTATTTTGGGAAAATTAATATATTACTAAAATTAAATCTTTCCAATTATGAATTTATTTGCATTTCATCTCATTCTCTATATTTTAATCAAATGCTATAGTTTTCATTATATAGATTTGTCTGCTTATATATATTTCTTAATACTGTATAATTTGTTATAATTTCTTGTTTCTAGATTTTAAGTGCTAGAACACAGAAGAGCTCTTCGATTTTGCAGTTTATCTGTATTGAAGATTGGCATTACAGATCTAGCTTTAATACATTTGCCTTGAAAGTTCTCTTAGTTAACACTAAGGATTTTTTTCATTAGATTCTTGGGTTTTCTATGTATAACATCTTAATGGCAGCAAATAAAACAAATTTTTATTTTTTTAATATTTATTTTATTTATTTGATAGAGTTATGGAGAGGGGAGAGATTTTCCATCCACTGGTTCACTCCCAAAATGACCACAACGGCTAGGGCTAGACCAAGCCAAAGCCACCAAGAGCTTCATCCAGGTCTCCCAGTGGGTACAGGGGGCCAAGCACTTGGGCCATCTGCTGCTGCTGCTTTCTCAGGTGCATTAGCAGGGAACTGGATTAGAATTGGAGCAGCTGGGACTCAAACCTGCACCCACATGGGATGCTGACATTGTACACCACTAGGCTGGCCCAGAAAATGTCTTATTGTACCTACTCTATTCCAATTTTTAGCCACTTTTGAAAATTATCTTCTCATTTTTTATTTGCTAAAGCAGTTATATAAACAAGTAATCACACAGGTAGGCATTTGGTGCAATGGTTATGGTGTCACTGAGACACTTAGATTGCATATTTAAGTGCCTGGGCTTGAGTCCACGCTCTACTTCTGAGTCCAGCTTCCTGCCAGTGCAGACTGTGAGAGGCAGCAGCTGATAGCTCAAGTCAGTGGGCCCCTGCCACCCGCAAGGCAGACCTGGATTGAGTTCTTGGCTTCTGGCTTTGGCCTGGCTCAGCCCCAGCCATTGCAGTCATTTGGGGGAATGAATTGGTGTATGGGAACTCTCTGCCTATCACAGACTCTCTGTCTTTCAAATAAATAAAGCAAAGAAGTAGTTGATGGTAGGATCCACATATTGGGGCATCAGCTTAGTATCCAGTTAGGCTGCCACTTGCATCCCATATTGGAGTGCCAATTTGAGTCCTGTCTGTTCAACTTCCAATCCAGCTTCCTACCAGTGCACTTGGGAAGGCAGTGGAAAATGGCTCAAGTACTTGGGCCTCTGCCACCAGTGTGGGAAACCAGGATAGAGTTCCTGGCTCTTGGTTTCAGGCTGGCCCAATGCTGGCTCTCTGCAATATTTTCGAAATGCCACCTCAGCAACTCTTGCTTATGACTTTTCTGGAGTTTGTTGACGTACATTGAAGTTATACTTCCCTGTGTGGGAACCATTACTGTAGGAAGTTCTACTTTGGATACGTTGCTGGGTCCTATTTGCTAATAGTTTACATAGAATTTGTACTTCTCATAAGTGATATTAGTCCATACTTTGTTATAACCGCTTCATCAATTTCAGTGTTGAATGTTCATTCATTTCAGAAAAAGAATTGGCATGCTTATCTTTTTCTGTCATCTAATGTAGTTCCAGATTATATTGGAAATAACCATTCTTGAAAGGTTGCATACAACTTACCTCTGAGATTATTTTGTCTTTATGCCATTTAGAAATGTTTGTTTTGTTTATATATTTATTTGAAAGGTGGAATTGGAAAGAGAGAGATCTTCCATCTGCTGGTTCAATCCCCAAATGGCCAGAACAGCCAGGCCCGGTCCAAGCAGAAGCCACAAACCTAGAATTCCATCTGGGTCTTCCACAAGGGGGCAGGATCTTAAGTACTTGAGCCATCACCTACTGCCTGCCAGGATGTGCATTAGCAGGAAGTGAGATGGGGAGCAGAGAACCAGGACTCAGATCAGGCAACTCTGACACAGGATGCATCCCAAGCAGCCGTTTAACGCAGTACACCATAGCACCACTGCTCAGTTTTTCAGGATGTGTATTCAGTTCAGTGGGTTTTCAGCTTTAATGGAGGACTGTGAGACTGCCTCAGTAAGTTGCCTTCCAGCATAACTTCATTGTGTTCCATAGGTTTGATGTATCTCCCTTTTCCTTGCTATGGACGTAACTCCTTTCTGATTCCTTTTTGACCCACGGTTATTTAGAAATGATTTGTCTTTTTGTTTTTTAAGATTTGTTTATTTATTTTGCAAGTCAGAGTTACAGAGAATGAGGGAGAGACAGAGCCATTGGTATCTTCCATCCTCTAGTTCACTCCCCAGATACCACAGTGGCTAGCACTGGGCTGAGCTGAAGCCAGGAGCTTCTTCAGGGTCTCCCATGAGGGTGGCAGGGGCGCAAACACTTGAGCTGTCCTCCAGTGCTTTCCCAGGCACATTAGCAGGGAGCTGGATTGGAAGTGGAACAACTGGGACACAAACCGGCGCCCCTATTGGATTGACAGCATTACAAAACACAACACCAGCCCAGAAGCGATTTCTTATTTCTCAGAAATTCCATGAGATCTGCAGGCTTCATATGTACCAGTATTGTCTCTATTTGTTGGTTTTTAAAACATAAACAACTAGCACTTAGCTCACGATCAGTCTGCAGTAACCAATTCTGTTTAACGTGGAGAAGCTAGTTCCACTAGTTGGTGGCCTGTGAAGCCTTTCACAATGCAGAGGGATTTTCTTTGGCTCTGTGAAGGATTGTAAATTGCTCTCATGGCCTCCAGGTAGAGAAACACTAAGCAGGTACAATTTTTTTGTACTTTGCTAAAAGGATCTATTAACTGTTCTTTAGAGTCGTCATCTTTCCAACTCTTTCTTTTTCTTTATAATTAAAAAAAAAAATGGATTCTTTGCATGGCAGTAAACATGGAGATAGGGTTTTTTAAAAATTAGGTGCGTTGCATAAATAGTATAGCATAAGGCAGATGATTCAAGTTGTAAAATGAAGTGCTTGTGCAGACAGTCATAGCTGTTTCATGTTTCTGTTAAGTCAAAAGTCTAAAATCGCTCAATCCTTTTTTCCTTGCAGACGGAGTATGCAAGGTTTGAAAATGGCCGATTTGTATACCGAATAAACCGTTCCCCAATGTGTGAATACATGATCAACTTCATCCACAAGCTCAAACACTTACCAGAGAAATATATGATGAATAGCGTTTTGGAAAACTTCACAATTTTATTGGTAACGGTTTCGTCTCTTTCCTGTTTTGGCAGCCTCTGCCGTGAGACATGTTGGCGAAGAGTGTGGAGGGCGGGTTGGGGAGGCAGCAGTGCCCTGGCCAAGGGAACAGACCAGCCCCTGGGCCCGAGTGGGCGGTCCATGGGTGAATTCACAGCATTCGCAGGGCTGATTTGGGCTGGACAGGGACGTCTGTCTATAGAGCAGCCTGTAGTCCTATGTATCTATAGCGCTCATTCAGTTGCCTAACAATACCTGATGGCTCCAGTTCTCAACTGCATGCCTTAAAGAGAAATGCAGGACTTGTAAGAACTCCTGATGCCTGGGCTGTGTCCTTAACCAGTGCATCCATGGTCTCTGAGCATAGGACCAGGCACGTGTGTTCTGATTGTGAGTTCCCCAGGTAATTGCAGCATTAGCCATTGGTCTCAGCATCAACATTGCTCGCAGCCTTCAATGAGGCAAAGGCTGAGTCAGAGGGCTTGCGCCTCAAACCCACCTTCCTTCAAGAAAGACTTGCAGGCCAAGGCCTTCTAAGAAGTAACCAGTAACACAGGAAACTCTGAATTCTCAGTACCTGGAGAAATATAAGTTAGGATAGGATGCAGTGACCAGGAAGGGGGAGAGAGTACTCTTCACAGGCAGAAAAATCTCATCAAAAGTTAATGGGCAGCCGAACGGAAAGAACGAATGACAGCATGGTAGGTTCATGAGCAAACTCACCGGGTCCATGGACAGTGCTGGGTGTGTGTGTGTTTCTTTCTCCAGTAGTTCCTGGAAGCTTCATTTGGAAAGGTTATTAGGAAAGTATTGTCCTCGAAATATGTTTATAAAATATGCAGTAATGGGTTTCATACACTCATTTTAAAAAAATTACTTGATTAAACTGGAAGGAATATGCCAGAACAAACTTAGTGGGCACCATTTGCTAACAGGGGCAGCGAGGCTGTATTGTGGTCAGTTACTCAGTCCTCCAGAGGCCCACATTGTCATTCTTTGTCACCTGGGTTAAGAAGTAGAATACTTAGAGCAGGAATTCTTTCTTTTTAGGTTGGTTGACTTTTATGTATTTGAAAGGCAAAGAGACAGAGAGAGTTTTCATCTGCTGGTTCACTCCCCAGGCATCGAGGGCTGGGCCAGGCCAAAGCAAGGACCCAGGAAGGCACAGGAACTTGAGCCATCACCTGATGCCTCCCCAGGTGCACACGAACAGAAAGCTTGAATCAGGAGCAGAGCCAGTAACTGAACTCAGGCATTCTTCTAAGGGATGAGGGTGTTACAAGTAGCATCTTTTTTTTTTTAAGCTCAGGAATTTTTTTTTCTATTTTTTTAAAGATTTATTTTGTTTCTTTGAAAGAGTTACAGAGCTAGAAAAGAGAGAGAGAGAGATCTTTCATCCACTGCTTCACTTCCCAAATGGCCGTAACGGCCAGAGTTGAGCCGATCTGAAGTCAGAAGCTTCTTCTGCATCTCCCACGTGGGTGCAGAGACCCAACAACTTGGGCTATGCTCTGCTGCTTTCCCAGGCGCATTAGCAGGGAGCTGGATCAGAAATGGAGCAGCCGGGACTGGAACCGGTGTCCATATAGGATGCAGGCTGGGGCTTTAACCTGCTGTGCCACAGCGCTGGTCCTGCCAAGTGGCATCTTAACTACGAGGCCAAACGCCCACCTGGAGACAGTGGTTGTCAGTGGTGTGCTAATTTGAATAAAAAAGGAAGGGCTCTTTCTCAATCCCTACTGCAAGCCCTGATTTATAGCTTGGGCTTGCTTCCATGGGACAAATATGCTCTCCAGATGGAAAATCCCCTAATTTTTAAAAAGATTTATTTATTTATTTGGAAGTCAGAGTTACACAGAGAGAGGAGAGGCAGAGAGAGAGAGGTCTTCCATCTGCTGTTTCACTCCCCAATTGGCCGCAATGGTCAGAGCTGTGCCAATCCTAAGCCAGGAGCCAGGAGCTTCATCTGGGCTTCCCATGTGGGTGCAGGGGCCCAAGGACTTGGGCCATCTTCCACTGCCTTCCTAGGCCATAGCAGAGGTCGGAAGTAGATCAGAAGTGGAGCAGCCATGACTTGAACTGGTACACATATAGGATGCTGGCACTGCAGGCGGCGGCCTTACCCACTAAGCCACAGCGCTGGCCCCAAATTCCCTAATATTTAACTGTGACTCTCATGAGCCAGTAGGTGCCAGTGTCTGTATACCCCCTATAAAACAAATAAGTGAATAAAAGTTTAGAACTCTGTGCATATTATATTCATCCAGGAAACTCTTTTTTTTAAAAAAAAAAAAAAAACATTTATTTATCTTTACTTGAAAGTCAGAGTTACACAGAGAGAGGAGAGGCAGAGAGAGAAAGAGAGAGGTCTTCCATCTGCTGGTTCACTCCCCAATTGGCTGCAATGGCCGGAGCTGCACCAATCTGAAGCCAGGAGCCAGGACCTTCCTCTGGGTCTCCCATGTGGTTGCAGGAGCCCAAGGACTTGGGCCATCTTCTACTGCTATCCCAGGCCATAGCAGGGAGCTGGATCGGAAGTGGAGCAGCCGGGATCCAAATCGGCGCCCATGTCGGCTGTTGGCACCGCAGGTGGCAGCCTTACCCACTACGCCACAGCACCAGCCCTGATCCAAGAAACTTTTAAAAGACCTAATGCCTGTGCTCTGAAAAATAAAATCAGAATCTCTGGCAGTGGGGCCAGCATTGTGTTTCTTGTCTATCTGTAAAGATCCCCAGATCACTGTGGTCTGCGGATGGGATTGAGACCCACTGTCTAGGTGGGGGCTGGTCAGTGAGCTGCAGGGAGTCTGAGAGCTCACATGTGAACAGCATACAGCTGGCAAACAGTTTTGCATGTAATTCTCAGATGTGCCATTGCCCCTCTAAAATTTAGAAACCCACAGTCTAGGGGAAATTGGGCATACACATTCTTTAATAATTCTTCTCTAACCATCTTCAGGTAAAAATCGAGAAGTTCAAGGACTGTGGTGCTGGCAGGTAGTCGGTGCATGTCTAACTGGTGTTCCCTGTTGCCATTTAAGAACAGCTGCACTCTCTGAGCATTCCGATGAGCAGAGGGACTGTACACGTCTCAGGAATTAGCCAAAACTCTTTGGGGTGGATGGCTACCCTTCCTCCCTCTCTGGGAACGGATCTCAGCTGTCTCTTACAAACCAGGCCTGTGTCTTGTTTCTGCACATTACAGATGTCTTTAGTCCATAAAACTCCACCTTGCAGAGTACAAGGCGCATAAATGCAGCCTAGAAAACCGTTCCCCACGAAGCCCATGGAATACCCCCATGTAACACGTGAATTCAGCCAGTATAACCGCCCAGAGAAACCATCCAGTTAGACTAATTTCCAAGTCTGTTGTTAATCACTGTCATTGAATTTTTGCTCAGAATAATATTGTAACTTTAGAAAATCTGAAATGAAGCCAGCACTCATGGTTTATGAAAATGAAACCTTCTAGTTGATGAGTAGGAGAAGTTGTGCTTTCTAACTCTGTCCTGGGGTGGGAGGGTACAGGTGCATGGCCAGGATGGAAGGGTGGAGGTGTGTCACCCGGTACACCGGATACAGAGCCTGTGTCCACAACACCAGTTCCAGACCATGCTGGCTGCTGGACTGGATGTTCTTGGTTTGATCGGGTTCACTCAGGGGTTGAGCTGACTGCAGATGTGGGGCCCTGGTGATAGCAACTGACCAGAACTGAGAAGACAGCAGCTAAGCCATGGGCCCCATGTTTCAGTCATGTTCCGACATAAGAAAGATTTTTTTTCTTTCTCCTTTTGGATCATAATCATGAAGCTGAAACTAGATAGGATCTTTTATAGAAAGCTTGCAAAAGAGTAGGATAGGCTGTAGAGGATCCAGGCACTTAGCTAGACAGACCCTTTGTAAACGTAGTGTTACAAAAATTTTCCCTGCAAAACTAGGAGGTTAGTTTTGTTCTCATTTTATGGATAAGAATGTGTAGCTTACCCCAGGTCACACAGCCAGTGACAGACCTGAGTTAAGACTTGAGTTGAAAGAAAAGACACTTTCTGGGGTCGAGAAGTAGAAGGCTTGGGTTAAAGACACAGACGTAGTTTGGGACCTCTGCACAAGTCATCTGAAGTCTGCAGCCGTCAGTTCCCCCGTGCATGTAAAAGCACAGGACTCAAGTCTGTCCACCTCAGAGGTTGTCACGGAGAAATCTTCAACTCCTTCAGCTTAACCGTGCAAAGACTGTACTAGCTGCCGGGCTGCAGTGCAGGTAAAACCCAGTACCTGCCTCCTGGTAACTCATGGCCCAGTGGAGTGGAAAAGGCAGGCAGTGAGCATTCGGCGATACAAGGTGGTGATGGCTGCACAGTACCTGTGAAACAGTCACCAAGGAGATACGGGGGAGCCGGGAGCTTCTCAGGGCTGTGAAAAGGTGGTATTTGCATTGCCTTAGTGGATAAGCAGCTTGTTTCTGAGGTTTACTCCGGGGGGTGGGGGGGTGTCATGGTGACCTGGACAGGTGGAGCAGCCCTCCTAGAGTCTGCTGAGGGAGGCAGGCATATGTGAGGCTGTCACTAAATGGACAGAGATTAACACTGGCTGATGTCTCAGGAGAGGGTCGAATAGGAGGGCTCACCCTACTCCTAGGTCAGGGAAGGGGTCTTGAGAAAGAAACAGTAGAGAAATCTGCCAGGTGGAAAGGCACCCTCAGCTTCCTCTCTGTCAAATCAGAGTAAAATTGGCACTCATAGGGTTATTGTCATTATTACATGAGACAATCTAGGTAAAGCATTTAATACTAAGCAGATACATGGTAAGCACTCAACACATATTGACTCTTACTATGTGAATTATTATTCAGTCTGCAGATACTTCTGAAATGACTGTGGTGTGCCATCCACTAAGCTATTACTGGGAAACATGGTCCCTGTTCTTCAGGGACATGTAGTCCATTAGATGAGATGGGCACTAAAAACAAAAGCCAGTGCAATGAGAAATGCCATGAGACTCTTGTTTGGCCAGGAATGGTGGATGATGTATGCGTGAGGGAGGCTCACTGGGTGAAGCATCCAGCAAAATTAGGCCAGTGACAAACTGGACCGTGCTTTCACATTTAGTGTTTGCAAACACTCTCCCAGCTGAGCAAAGCTAAGTCGTGGGAGCATTTGAAGTAGGGATGTTAGGTGCAGTGATTTGCTTTTTGAAAGTTCCTCTGAGAATGCATGGGAAATTGAGACCAGAGTGGGGAGAGGAAGGAGGCAGTGTCCAAGTGGGGAGGAGCTACAGTGAGGTGGGCCAGAGAGCTCATGGTTGGAACGAAAGCCGGGGATGGCTGTGGATGTGAGTAAGGAAGAGAGGAACTCAAGGTGTAGGACTCAAGAGAGGAAACGGACGAATATTTCAGAATATTGTTTGGAAGATGAAGCCCGGATCCCTGGAAAGAATAACCATCTGATGCGCTTCTGCCTTCCCTGTGGTCTTTTACCTGGCAAATCCTTTCATGGGTTCAGACACTGCTGACTGATGCAGCAGTGAGCAAGGCACGCATGGAACTTAAGTCTGCCACAGGCCATTGTGAAACGAAATTGAGCAAAAGTTTAAGGATAAGATAGGAAAAAGAATACTTTTTCATTGTTCTCACCACAAGAATGAATTGATGAATATGTTCAGCAGACTGATGTGTCTGCAATGTGTCTGTATATCCTCTGCCACCCCCATCAATATATTCAGTTAAAAACAGAACATTGCAATGGACAGGAAACAATTGCCTAGGGTAAATGACTTTACTATGGGACAGAATAGAAAATTGTCTCTGTTGTAAAGAAAGTGGCCCAAGGAAAACCAAACACATGAACCACACTGACTCTTGTGGTCTCTTTGGGCTCAGACTATGGGGGAGATGCTGTCCATAGGCCCTTCTTGCACACGGTTGCCAAGTTTACGTGGGATTTGAGACAGGCTGGTGGGAATGCAGAGTGAGGCAGGACAGAGCTCTGCTGATTCTCTGGTTGGACTCCTGGCAGTTGCTCTCCCATCCGATCCCCATGGTGGTGGCACAGATGGAGCATGCGTGTTCTGTCTGGTGTGGCATTCTATCAGTGAACCTTTCTTCTTTCTTTAAACAGGTGGTAACAAACAGGGACACACAAGAAACTCTCCTCTGCATGGCCTGTGTGTTTGAAGTTTCAAATAGTGAACATGGAGCACAACATCATATTTACAGGCTCGTAAAGGACTGAGCGTGGTTATTTATATATATGGATATCTGTATATACACACACACACACATCTGTGCACACACACACTCTCTCTCCACTCTTGGACGACTGACTGCAAACCTCACCACACAGGGAGGTGCCCTGGCCCTGAGGTCACCCCGACTTTTCTAACTCCTGTTTGAGTGAAGTCATTTTTCCGTGTGTTGATACTATCATTGTAGCTGTGAAGTTCTGGTACAGTTGTAAAAAGAGAAATCGATTTGTTTCTATGTGTCCTTCAGATCTGCAGCCCACAATTCCTCGGGAAAGGGGAACCTTAACCCATGTCTCTCTCTGCAGAGACCCTGTTTCTGATTGTGGTAGAAAATACTGAGACAGAGCATTGGCCATGGGACATTTCCAGCCTTTATACAAGTGTATTTTGTTCTCTTTTTTCCAACATAAAATTCTTCTCTTAAGATACAAGTAAAATTAATCTTTAAATATAAATGTAAATTAGTACACAAAACTAAGAACCTTTAGACTTATCTTTGTAACTAATTACGGTGGAAGTTATGAAAGAATGTAATTCACTAAATTATTTTTTAAATGAAACCTTTCTTTCTTTTTGAAACCAAATGTTAAACTATAGCCTTAAGAAATGTTTGGTAGAAATATCCTAATAAGACAAATTTGTACTTTTTTTTTCTCAAGGTGAAAACTAATCTCTTAATCCATTAAACTCTTGAACAGGTATTACAGAGGAAGAGAGCTTCACCCCTTATCCTTAACATATATAGTATATTTAAAAATATAAAATTGTATTGTACTAATGTGATGATTGATAATTTAATGAAAAAGAAAAGATGGCTCTTTTGCAATAAGTAGATAAATACTGAAAAATCTAAACTTACAATGTTTATATAGTCATATGTGTGCAGTTATATTTTATATGGACAACCAAATTTTTTATGAAGAGTAAATATTTGAACCACTGAAATTTAGTAACAAAATTAAAAAATTGGCCTGAATACTGCACTGCAAAGGACAGAGAAACCTGTGGCTGGGAGAACACTTATCAGCCAGACGAGTAAAAGGCTCATCAGTTTTAGCATCTCTGCTCCCCAGAAAACTGCAGGCACCCCCGCCGGCTGGTGGAGACATTCATTCTTTCTGGTGGCCCAGCGTGCAGATCAGCCTGCTGGAACTGCAGCTGTATGTGCACAGGTGTACAGAGGTCAGAACACTCACTCACACCTATTCAGTCCTCAGTTTGCTAGGTGCTGATATGTGTGTATATCTCAGTCTGTGTCTGCAGACTTAGCTGGATTCTCTGTAAGGAATTCTGTGTCCTTGACGCATCTCGGTAAGTCCCAGTAGTCCCCATTTGACTTAGGTTTAAGAGGCCCCGCTGTCTATCTCTGACCTTTTCAAATACGCTCATCCAGGAGGTTCTCAACGGAACTTTCCACTGCAGATATTCCAAAGCATTGCCCAGGCAGAGGTGGACTGATGCAGCCACTTGTCTTGGGTTCTTTCCGAAAGTGCTTCATTGGGAGAGGGAACGGGGGAACTCTGCTCATCCCCCAACTTCCCGGAGGAAAATGATGTTTATAACCACAAGGACTGTGTTAACACAGCAGGACATGAAGTAAAGTGATAAGTTGTAAGACATGTCCAGATGTTTTTCACCAAGCTAGCAACAAAAACTTAGTTCTGCTGCATCCAGGTTGCACGCATACCCCCTTCCTTCTCCCACCATCTGCCTGGACGCTGCTTGTACATTGTCCAGCATCTCTTGGTCAGGAGCATGAGTGTGGCTGGCTTGCAGCAAAAAGAAAACCACCTGACGGAGCCTGAGCTCCCCCAGTCACTGGGGAGATGGGAGGAGAACGTGCAGAACCCTCCCGTTCTGGAGTGCACATCCCTCCGTGCGACTCAGCTCTGTAAAGGGACTGCCTTTGCTCATCTGGTCTTCAGTGTAAGCTGCTAGGCTTCCTTTGCAGTCTCCACACTTTCACTGACTTCTCTTGGACACCCTTTTCAGGGTTATTTCCTTTGCTCCACTCTTCTAGGACCCAGGTTAGGTGAATGGGTACAGAGGATGTCCTATGACTGAAAGCCTGGCCGTCCCAGAGCTTCAAGGGGAGAGAGAACTGCTTCCTGTCCCCACCCATGAATAGACTCTTCTGGGCTACGCAGAGGCTCCTGAGATTTCCTTTTCAAAGCACAAAAGGACTGCTACCCAGGAAGACCAGTGAGGGGACACGGACACCCTGATCTGCTGACCTCACAGGATCAGGCCGGGTCCTGCTACCTCACTGCTCACATCTTCCTCTTAAACAGCTGTCAGATTTTTAGAAGTTTGCTTCGGGTGTTCTGCAGTGTTCTCCAGGAGAGAGATTTACCTGTCCTAACCACCGGTCCAGTTTCCCCCAAGTCTTGGGCTCTTGGGCTCCTTCCCAAATTAGACCCTTGGTTGGCATCTGTGTCATGGCGTCTCTCTGAGTTTCCCTTTGGTCCTTCTTTCTATACAGTGGTCTCCTCCCCGTCTCTTAGAAGCTTTCTTAGCCGTAAGGAAGCCTTCCCAGGGCCCTGTCCTCACTGCTCTCCTCCCGGTGCTCTGTTTCCCAGTGACCTTGCGATGCCTGGCTGGTGTCAGGACCACCTTGTGCTTCTCTGCAGAGTGTGGAGGCTGATGTCCCACCGGGACAAGCTAAAGGCCAGGGCTCTGGCACATTGCTACTTCTCCATCACAGCAAGAGACCTAAAAGGAAAGCAGGACTTCTGCAGCATGTGTCCCAGAGTTCCAGAATGTCCTCACTGCCTGAGACCAGGCTCTGTCAACGTCGGCACCATTGTCACTGGACCAGGTGATGCTTCGTTGTGTGGGGAACTGCTGGCACCCTCAGCCACCACACAGCAGCCCCTCTTCTGCTGGCTGTCACAACCAAAAACATCTCTAGCTGCTGCCAAATGCCTCCGCACTCTGTGGTCCAGATCTGCCGCCCCGTATCTTAGAGGTCTCTCTGACAGTAGCTTTTCCTTCCATCTCACTTTGAAAAAGCTTCTCTTCTAGGAGCCTTGTTCAGGTCATCAAGAGGCAGATAAATATTAATCACATGACGTTGTGTCCATGTTTCGTGCTGTTTCAGTCCTGGTGTTTTGCAGTCTCGCTGTTGCTTGAGTATTCTTTCTCTCATCTCTAGGGAAGTTGAGAATGGCTGGTCCCCAGCCCTATCGCTGACTCACACCTATACATTGCTAATTTGATCCTCATGCCTTAGCTTATTGGAGTTGAAAAACAATTCCAGCACTTGTCATCATTGCTCATGAGCTCACGGGTCTCATCATCAAACCTTGAATTATCTTAGTGCATTTCCCGCAGGCTGCTTGGACGTGCTGCCTTATTCTTCATGCTGTTTGTACAATATATTGGAACCTCTGACACTTTTTACCCCTGTAGAGCTGAGGAGGGAGGGCTCAGTTCCAGAGGGGACTTGAAGAATTACTCCTTCTCCTGAAAGAGAGCAGTCTCCTGTTCTTCGTTTTGTGGAGAAAGTCGGGTTCCAGAGTAGACAGGCTTGCCCAAGGTCCCCTGGATGGGGAGTGGCAGGACGAGGGGGAGCACTTTCCTGGGGCTCTGGCCAGCTTCATCCCTGGCCTGTCCTGGTGCAGGCTGTTCTTCAGGGCTGTGCGCTTACATGAGCCCTAGGAGTGTGTGTTCAAAAGAGGGGGCAGTTCCGAATGCCCATGCTGCTTCTCACGTGGGTGTGTCCTGTTGCACCGCGCCTCTCTGAGGCCTCCACAGCAGGCAGGAAAGCTGCTGAGCCTTTTCACTTCGTCCGGGGACAGTTTTATCTGCCACAGGTGCTGAGTCGAATTCCTCTTTGCTAATCAGTCCCAGCAGCAAATCCTGCACCAGCCAAAAACAGCCCCCGTTCCAAGCACTTGGGGTTAAAAGTCCCCCGGTGACTTTGCAACCCAAGTTTTCATTAGGTTTTACTACTGTGGTGGCTTTAGCAGTTGTTTTTGTACAACCATAAATTATTTAAACCGTGTGTGACCGTCAGTTTTACAACAGGTACCTATGATTTGTATAATTTTGTGTATGCTCTGGTACACTACACCTGTCCTAGGAAAGGGCAGAGCGAATTCTGTTTGTTGGTCTTCACACCTGTGACTTCAAGAGGACGTGTCTGCATTGCTGATTTCTTCATGTTGATGTTTCTGTGGCAAAGCCCTGCACAGGTCGTTTCTGAAAAGCCTTAAATCTCCGAGATGTTGCGTGTAGGGTCTACAGTGCAAAAGGCTGCCTCGGGACTGTGAGCCCTTTTGTAAGCTGGAAGCGTTTCTCTTACTACTGTTAACCTTTTTTAGAAAGTTTTCAATTCAGAGCTGCCAAAGCGTTCCAGTAAGCAGTGCCTTAGTAATACCTTCGTCGTGCCGCCAGCCTTTTCTTGCACCTGGTCTCGGTGTTCATGTCCTAATTGGCTAATATCTGAAACAGAACAAGCAAAAATGATCTCCACCTTTGATTTTCAAGCCCATTTCTTCTCCTGTTCCATAGGAAACTGACGACTGGATCTAAAACCTAAATAACACAGGTCAGTTCCTTGCCCGCCCTCTCAAATGTATATACCAAAACAAAAGGTTGCAACTTTAGTTTACTATGAAAAGCTAATTGTACTTTTATTGTTGCCTTTTAAATCCATGACCAAATACTTAGCTATTTGTGAATCTTCTGCACTCAGCATGAAAGTGCCTTTGGTTTGAGATTCCAGCTTAGAAAAGTGCTGCCATCCTCACAATAATTTGTAGAGAGACCAAAAATATTTTGAGATCACCATAATGCCTTTGGTTTACTGGGATGAGTAACCGGCTACAGGCCTCTGTTCACGAGAGCGCATCGTGGCCGCCTCCTGCTGTGCGTCTGTCTGCCATGGGCACGCCCACCACCGTCACCACCGCCACTCATCCATAGTGCACTGCAGCAGGAGCGACCCGGAAGCTGTTCTGTCTGTGCGCCGCCGGCCGGCCATGTCACTTCCGCTCGTCTCTCAGCCCTGCATCCCGGCGAGGGACCTTCCGCACAAAGCAGAGTCTGGGCCGGTGGACTGATGTCACAGCTTTCACCTGCCGGCTCCGTGTTCAGAGACTTTGTTTTCCATTCAAATGACAGTGCGCACTTATCTGGTTTACACAGTGACACCATTTTGAAAGTTGGAAGCCTCAAACCGAGATGAGCGTGCAGAACAAAAAGGCGTTAGGGTCATTACAATTGAAGTGTTCTTCTTAAGGGCAAACACGTTGCCTCTGAATGTTGGGAATGAGTGTGCTTCGAGAACCTTCCAAAGAGCACCTTTCACAATTAGGCATTTTCCAAGAATGTTCTGGCCCTCAAAGGGGCAACTCTTTATAGAGTCTGTCTTGGAAAACTCAACAGCAGAGTGAAAAAGACAAGAAGGCTGAAACACCAGCCCCTCCCCCCTAAAAAAGCCAAGGACAACAAGATTTTTCTGTGCTTATATTAAAAAAAAAAAAAAAAGCATCCAGCATCTTTGAAAATAAGCCTCTAAGTTTTTAATATGTAAATTTTGTCTGTTTCTGCCCGGTGTCTTTAAGAATAACCTCACTGGGCTCTGAAATTTCAAGAGTGATTTCTGTCCACTCCAAGTTGTGAGTATTTATAGAAATTTTCTGGGGGAAAAAAAAACACCCAAAAACATACCATTTGAAAAAAGGAAAATTACTCCACACAAGTTGTAGTTAGCTGCTTGAATTCTCAGCTCCTTCCTGTCAGTTCTACACAACTTGGAAGAAATTAGTGAAAATACTTCTTTCCTGCTTCTCTTTTCAGCTGCCATGTACCTTGCTAGACTGTAGTGTTCTCTCATAAGCTCATTGCTTACCGTGCTAGGAATGAAAACTTTTTTTGTCTCAAATTTATTGCATTGCAAAGGAGGGTTTACTGAGGTCATGCATCGTGAAATAAGATGAAATATTTGTATTTATTGTCCTGCTTCCCAAGCTTGTTTTACTCCGTGGATTCACATTGGGTCACTTGTATGCCGCACTGTATCGTTTTAGAATTTAAAGTGGTGTTTTTGTTCCTGCTCGTCCATCATTAAATGTGATCAGATTCCACCTTGCTCCAGCTGACTCTTGTCTGCCTTCCATTACAAGATTATTTGTCCTGTCCCTTCTTTGAGAGAGGCTGACAGAATTGAGTGTAAATCAATTGGAAACCATTCTGATTTTTTTCATTAGTCATTTTCTGTGATTAATTTCACTGTGTAAATTAGATATTAACTGCACTTCTTTAAAAAAAAAATCTACGTCTCCCTGTTACCTCCTTGGAAGGTTTTCTTCTGTAGGCTCTCTTTCAGTGGGCTCACGACTGCAGACAAGGGGTAAAAGGAAAACAAAAACAGTACGTGCCTGAAAAATGACAAAAAAAGTTTTTTGTAACATTTAAAAAAAAAGAAAAACCTGAATAGCCTTTACTTCTTTAATACGCTTCAATTTTATGTGACATGGTTTTGGCCACATGTGTTTGTTCACATTCTAAATGACTTTGTGGGATTCTCACAGTCTGCGTCTCCGTGTCCCGTGTGTAGACAATGGGCTTGTGACGTAAGCGTGTCATCTGGTCAGTGGCTCCTTTGATATTGTACTGCTGCTGGGGCTGGGTTTGGGAGCCTGCCTTTGGCTCACTGGGCTCCTCTTGGGTAGATTGGAGAGATGGGGGGTGGGGGTGGGCAAATTCTCACACATGTTTTCGTAATCTACTTGCAGAAACTTTGAAAAGGCATTTGGTTAAACCTCTTGGCAGTACAGTATTTTGTGTTTGTTAACGTTTGTGTTTAGGTACTGGTACCTTTTTGTTTAAAAATGTTCTCAGTGTTGGCTTTAAAGTGAATTTATCTTTAGTATGATAGTTATATGAAAATTATAGGGTTTGTGTGCAGAGAATTTTTTTATAAAGTGCTTTGTAAAAAAAAAATGTATTCTAGCTTTCGCGGTACATATGTGTGATAACTTTAATATCCATGACAGTTAAGTGCAATTATTTCATCACTCTAAAAATGCTATTTTTGTGTCAGTTCCTGCAGGTGTTTTCATGTCTTTGCAAAGTGACACATTTTGATGCCTTCTTGATAAAAGTGGTAGACATTTTGTAGCTTTCTAGAAACTTTGTATTCATACGGTATCAATGAAAAATAAAGAAAATGAAAGTGTGGGTCACCTTTCTTATCTGTGAAACGTGTATGTTGTTGAGAATGAAATGTGCGTCTGTTGTGGGTGATTGTATGAACAACAGAGTACAGGAGGTGGAAGCCTGGATCACTTTGAGGGAGTCCACCGTTGGAATTTTAGGTGCTGTGTCTCGCAGGGTTTCACTAAACACACACACTGATCAGTCAGTTCCCCTTGCCTGTTTGTCACTCCTAAGTCCCTCACTTAAAAGGACAGGAATTTTCCAGAGTAACTTGTCTGTGGATCCCTGAGAGGCCACGTTGCAGGTACTGCGGCTGGACCCTGGAAGAAGCAGGACAGCAGCCCCATGGCACTGGGCATTTGTTGCTCACCCAGCTTGCTGGGCACATGCCAGGAACCCAGGATGGAGCAGAGTTTGAGGGTACAGCAGGATCCCTGCCTGTGTGGGGGCTTTCATTCCCAGCAGTCAGATTTCACGTGGAGTTGTGACCTTCTTGGGGCTCATGATTGGAGTGGGCAGCAGGTAGAGAACGGTGGATTCACTACATGTTGACCATTTGAGCATGCTTCGGAACAGTCACAGAAAACGGAATTTGGAAGTTATTTTGGTGAAAAACGTTTAAATCCATGCAGCTTTTTGGTAATAGGCATTTTCTATTAAGGTCTTGCTCATGAAATATGTTGACACAATGTATATACATTGTGTTCTTTAATTCTCACTATAGTCTCAGTAACAATATTACCCCGAAACAGGTTCAGACAGCATAGCTCATCCAAAGTCAGGGCTAGAAAATGATGGAGCCTTCAGTAAGTTTGTCCTGTCTCCATCCTACACCGTTGGTGCTTGCATTTTGGCTTTCTGCACCATGAAAATAGTTGAAGGCATGGGAGAATTCTGGCTTAAGGGGAGAAGAGCTTTTTTTAAAAGATTTATTTTATTGGAATGGAAAAGTGGGAGAGAGAGGGATCTTCCATCCACTGGTTCAATCCTCAGATGGCCTCAATAACTAGGGCCGGGCCAGGCCAGAGCAAGGAGCTTCATGCAGGCCTCCCATGTGGGTTTGGAGGCCCAAGGACTTGGGCTGTCCTCCATGGCTTTCCCAGGCCATTAGCAGGGAGCTGGACCAGAAGTGGAGCAGCTGGGACTGGAACCCGCTGCTCATATGTCCCCCACCCCCTCACCTAGGCCACAAAGCCAACCCTGAAAAGAACTTCCTTAACACTGAACATCTCTGACGATGAGATCAAAGGCACCCTGCAATGCTTGGGTGTGTGAACCACACCTGGAGGGTCTTGCTTCTCCGTGTTCTTTAACATCTGGAGTCAAGCCTGCCTGGAATCTCGTGAAGTGTGGGTGGGAAAGTGTGAACAAAGAAGATCACACCGGCTGCCCTAAAAGCCTTCAGCAAGCCCTGTTAGGGATGCTGTTGTCCAGAGTGGCAGAGAGCAGTGGGAAAGTGTAAGGAGTGTTTTGTAGAGTCCTGCTGCCGCCAGGCACTTTGGGTGCCCCACTTTCCCAGTAGGGGAGTTGCCGCCCAGAGGGGTTGGGAGGCACGAAAGCTGCCTCTCTGACAGTTCTGGCTCTGCCCCTCCCTACGTGACACCTTTTCTCCTCTAAAGTCACTTCTGCCTGACGCTCCAGCCATCGTGAGTTCCGCAGAGAGTGGCTGTGTGACGCCATGGAGTAGAGATTGGGCTTGTGGTGAGGTCAGGGAATGAACGTAGGGATCCCCTGTCCCAGTCAGTCTTCTCCGCCTTAGTGCTTCAGGGCACCAGTGAGCATAGCAGCTGCTGGAGAACATGTGTGTGCAGCTCATACCATCCGATAAACCAGTGTTGGGTAAGCCCAGGAAGCCTTAGAGTTGATAAAACTGCCTTCAAAGATACCCTTGATCGGTTTAACAGCTTCTGGCAAACATCTAAGTTGTCAGAACCAGCAAATAGTCCACTGACAACCTGACTGCACCTGCAGCAAATATTCTCCTGTTTGCTTTGGCTTCCAAGAAGCTTGGACTTAACATCTGTGCTTTGTGCTGTTGATAAAGAACCAACTAAAACATAAAGGTACAGGAAGATTAAAAATAAATGAAGAGTATATACCAGCAAAACACTAGCCAAAAGGGAACTGATAGAGCTTTGTGTATCATGGCACAAGGCAAAAATTTACCAAAGTAAACAAGGATTGCTTCAAAATGGTACAAGTTTCAGTTAACCAGGAAGAGTGAAGATGCTAAACTTTTATACTCCTAATAACTTTAAATTCTGTAAAGCAAAACTTAACACACTCACAGCCGAAGTGGGAGTTTTTAAAATAAAACTCATTAAAGCCGATCAAAAAAGTAGATTGGTGAGGTTTTGAGCAACATACTCAAACCTCCTGATTTTTAAAATACAAGGTCATGACCCCAACAATTAGAGACTATACCTTGTTTTCCAGTACACGTAGGATTTTTATGGAAACTGACCATGCCCAAGACCAAGAGTTTGGAAGCGATTACCCCTGTACCCCATCTAGCCCACTGCCTGCCTATGTTCATACAGTTCTATTGGAATAGCGCCATGCTCGTTCTGTGACTGCTTTCACAGTAGATTGGCAGTGTTAACTGTAATGGAGACTGTATAACTCATGAAAGCTATAATGCAATCTGTTCCTATACAGAAAATAACTTGTCAACCCCCCATCTGAAAGCCAACAAGCAAGGTCTTTTATCCAGTGGTCCTGAGAAGATAGCCGTTTTTCATCATCAGTGTATAGATACTCCAACAATGGCTGTAGGTCCCTTTGATGTCCTTGAGTGGGATTGTAGTACCAAGAGCCCAGGCTTCCCCTTTGGTCAGTAAGTGGCCTGTGGGGTTGACAACAGGCTTAGATCTGGGAAGAATGGTTAAGGAATGGTGATTTTCCATTGCAACAGGTGACATCTCCCTTGATCTTGATATTTTATGTTTAAGATGGCCAAGCATCATGGGTAGTGGCTGCCCATCTACCTTGTCCCTAGCTTGCTGTTCAGCCCTCTCCACAGACGTGGGGCTGTGCTCCCTGGTTGCCATTCTTTGTTAGGGGTAATTATTGCTTTGCTTCTGAAAGCTAAGTGTTGCCGCCCTTGCAGAATCAACTCCATTTACACAAGGGGAACCAATTTAGTATCAGTGTCACCTACCATCAACCCTGGCTTGCAAGCCACCTCTGAGGGGTATAGCACTGGTGCCCACTCATTAGTGTACTCACTGTTGAGTGAAGAGAGTCCTGGCCTCCCAAGGCAGTAGTCATGTGGAGGGTATTCTGGTCCTCAATCATGAGCGCATGCATCTGGGTCTGAGCCTTACCTCACCCAGTACTCTGCTGAGGCAGCTCCTGCACTGCCACCGCCTCCCTGGCTCCAGGCTGTCCTTTCCTCCATGCTCCAAAGAGCGGTCCGGCAGCACATTAGGATCAGCGCCAGTTTCTGCCTGGATGCTATGTCCTGATCGTAGAAGAGCATCCTGCACATTGATAACGCCCTAATCTAGCCCAGTTGTGTTCTCCCAGCTCCTGCTGGCAAGAATACGAGACTGACCATATCCTGCAGCACTTCACTGCTAAAGCAAGGGCCTGACTTCCCCAGTTGGAGCATGCTGAAGCTTTACCCTTGGTTTGGAAGCCGTGAGGGGTGGTGGGGCAGGTGGCGGGGAGGCAAGCACTTCAGTTGAGGCCTTGACCTGGTCTCCAGGTGGGGAGGCTGCTGCCTACCATCAAGAGGAGTGGACTTCCTTGAGCCTGGAGGGGCCAGAGTTAATGCTTTCACAGGGATGTCCCCTCCCATTTCAGCGTCCCACTCCTAATCGATTAGCACCTGACTTTAACACAGGACACTTGTGACGGCTGTCACTCCAGCTTTGCTCCTAATTTCTGGCTTGATGTTTAGCACAATCTTGCCTCCCGCTGCATGAGCTGAGGGTCTTCAGATGCTGCCCCAGAAGCCCTCCTGAGCCCTGCCGTGATGTCATCTCTTCTTGCACTGATTGAGTTTAGTGCCCCCCGTCTAGTCCTTAATCTCTATCATTACTCCCACCCCCACCTCTCATGCTAGGGATTGCCTAAGTCAGCACATCCCCTTCCTGTGGTCCCAATGCCGGTGTCCCACTGGTGGGCGCCCAGTCACTGTGGTGCTTCAACAAGCCAGGTGGACCAGCTGTCTTACACTCCTCCAGAAGCAGACCCTGAGAAGGGACCCAGCTGTAAACAATTTGAGCACATTAATAGAAATAAGAATATCATTTCATGTGATAAAATGTTACATTTGCCACAAAGATGAAGTATATATTGGTATTAATAAAATTTCCTCAAAGGACATGAGCGGGCTGGCACTATGGCCCGGTGGGCTAAGCTGCCACTCGCATACTGGCATCTCATATTGGAGCACCAGTTCAAGACCTGGCTGCTCTGCTTCTGATCCAGCTTCCTGTTAAAGCGCCTGGGAAAGCAGCAGAAGATGGCCCAAGTACTTGGACTCCTTCCACTACACGGGAGACATGGATGGCGTTCTTGGCTACTGCCTTTGTCCTGGTCCAGCTCTGGCTGTTGCAGACATTTGGGGAGGGAACCAGTGGATGGAAGCTAACGCCCCCCCCCCCTCAAATAAATAAATCTTTTTTAAAAGTTGTGAAACAAAAATGAGAGAATGACCAAAGTGCAGAATCATTCATCTCTCAGTAATTGATGAAGCAAGCAATTACAAGGAAGTATGTAGAAAATTTGAGGTTTTCATTTGTGTGTGTATGTGTACATCATATTCCCAAATTGTCAAGTTCACATTTTAATCACATGTAGAACAATATGAAAACCACATGCCTGCAGAGTAAGCAAGTGTTTCAGTATATTTCAAAAGCATTGTGACAATAGATGGAATGCTGTGACCACAATGCAACTAATGTAGCAACCAGTATTAAAAGGATCATTAGAAAAAGCTCCAAGTATTCCAGAATTATTGAACACATTGCTAACTAATACACAAGAAAGGAAGTCATTAAAATGAAGAAATATTTAAAACTG